TCGATATTAACTTTCTTATTTTGACATTTGCCCTTTCATTTGTCTTGAATATTCCACTTTCTCTTTCCAATTTGCCCTTTATCCTACTGGTTGTACAATTGATGATGTTGCTCTGCATTAGCCTTTTGATACCAGATAGCGTGAGCTCGTTCCAACATCTCACGGTACGATGTGACATAAGGATCATACTTAGGTCTGTGTTTAACCCTTGCTCGAACCTTCGAGTTTTCTTAATTTCCGTGTCAACCAGATGTGGAACATACCTTGCGAGTTGATCGAACTTCCGCTCTAAATCCGTTAGGGACATATTACCCTACTTGAGTTGAAGAAATTCGTTCTCCTTGAAATCCCTTAGAGATTGAGGAAAATATTTGTCCATCACTTCCTCCTTGAATTGTTCCCAAGTTATTGCCAATTGCTGCTCCGGAGTCCTAGTTCGGGACATCGAATCCCACCAGTGACTTGCATCACCGATAAAATAAACTCCGCACATTGAACCCTTTGGGCATCAGTGCAGTGCAGTCTATGAGTTGAAAAATTCGTTCTAGCTTATGAAGCCATTCCTCAACTACTAGGGACCAGATGCTCCATCGAAGGTAGGGGGCTTATGCCTTTGAAATAACTCAACTGCCGAGGTGTGAGTCGGAAGAGTAATAGGAGCTGGTGGTGTAGGTGGAGCGGGATTTTGATTCAGCCTGCCAAGATCTTGAATCGCTTGCAGGAGATCCTTTATCAAGTTGTTCTAGTTTGCTCGAGACATTTTCCTAAAGATAAGATATAATATCTCACATTAACTTCGTTTGCCAATACCAGAATACTTAAAAAAATAAGGTAGTCCTCAAATTGATCATAATTTTCCTTTATTAATAGTACTCATTGCAATCAGAACATACAATAGGTCGACAATTTTTTTTTTCAAAAACATAAAGGAAAAAATATTACAAGGAAATGGAAATCTAAATTTCTAATCCCTATGAATCTTGCGAATTTTCTTCGGCGGAGCCTCATCTTTGGAGGAGTCTTGTGTCTCAGGCCCTGACTCTAGGTCCATCTCAACCTGTGGCTCAGGTTCATGCTCATGATCATTATCTAAGTCAACCCAAAGTCATCCTCATGCTCCTATTCGGGATCTTTCTCGGGGTCTGATTCAAATTGAGGTTCGAGCTCGAGCTCAGGCTCAAACTCATTATTGGGCTCAATTACTATCTCTGGTTGAAGGTAGTCCTCAAATTGATCATAATTTTCCTTTATTAATAGTACTCATTGCAATCAGAACATACAATAGGTCGACAATTTTTTTTTTCAAAAACATAAAGGAAAAAATATTACAAGGAAATGGAAATCTAAATTTCTAATCCCTATGAATCTTGCGAATTTTCTTCGGCGGAGCCTCATCTTTGGAGGAGTCTTGTGTCTCAGGCCCTGACTCTAGGTCCATCTCAACCTGTGGCTCAGGTTCATGCTCATGATCATTCTCTAAGTCCAACCTAAAGTCATCCTCATGCTCCCATTCGGGATCTTCCTCGGGGTCTAATTCAAACTGAGGTTCGGGCTCGAGCTCAGGCTCAACCTCATTATTGGGCTCAATTACTATCTCCGGTTGGGGTTCTAAACTCTCACTCCATCTGTCTAGAAAGGTCTGACAATATATACCAAATTCAATCGTATTTGGGTGCTCTGAATGGTTACCCTCTAGCATCTCGTCCCTAACAATGACTCCCATGTTTCCCTACTGAGGTGGAAGTGGATGTATAAGGTTATTCACAGCCTCGATATACGTGATCTCCAGTCCCGCATCTACAGCTGTCATACATCTCTCGTAGATATCATGTACGTGTTCAACAAATGGACGAGACGGGTCAGTCACATAGTTCTCATAGGACTGGATGATGGCCATACGGTTCAACTTTGCTATACAATCTGTGGCCTTTCTAGCGGTCTGATAAATTCTAGTCATGTCTGTCACATAAGTGTCCAATTATGTGTTATCTTCATTAGTGATATCAACTTATGCATTATGCTCTTGAGGTTCTAATATGGTGGCCAATCATCATTTCTTCACGTATATTTAAACAAAATATAATGTATATAGCATATTTTATTTAGAACATCATAAGTATTTTCATAGATTCAATCTTAAATGATTTTTAAAAAAAAATCATGCTCGAAAAAAATAATGTAGAACATAATATTTTATTCCATACCTTGGGTTCGTCGAATGAGGTCAACTGATAGACGCAAGATGCCATGGAGTGCCTTAAATGTTTCATTTTTTTCATCTCATAAATAAAATACACTAAGTCTACAGAGTCGACTAAACTCGTACTCTGATATCACGCTATAACGCCCCGACCCGCATGGACAAAAACATCACTCAAACCATTGTACCTTAGCCGTAAAGTTAGTTCAATATATTTTAGTAGAAGATATAAAGATTATATTTTAGAATTTAATTAAAGAGTTTTTTTTTATTTAAACAATAATCGAATTCTAAAAGAAAACAATTTCAAAAAATGTTTTTAGAATGAGTTCCATGCATGTAACGACTATTGATGTGAAATTTTGACAAGACTTAAAAAGTAATGTTGCTGTTCAAGTTTTTTGTCTCAAACAGTAATTGTCAAAATAAATTTGTTTTCATAGCTATCGACCTTGAAATTTCATTAAATTTTAATGAAAGATAGTAAACTCCTTATAATATGACATAGTTAAAAATTACCTTCCATCGACATCATATGGGGTATTAAAATATTTTTCAAAACTCAGCAACGACCTGGTTGAAAGGTAACCGGTGCAGTTCACTTAAAATGGCATATAACATTTCACCAACGTCAAAACCACATGATTTAAAATTTATTCAGTATCTAATTCATAATACTATCAAATTCAATTGGTTTCATCCAAAAATTCCAAGTGACGAGTGAGTTATGAATTTTTGAAAACAAGGGTAGAAGCTGAAGAACAGAGACAGCACCCAGCACAGTTTACTTTATGTGACATATAACCTTTTACCGATATTGGATTGATATGCTTTCAATTTTATTCAGTATCTAACTTATTAGGCTATCCAATTCAATTGGTTTTTTATAAAAATACCAAGTAACGAAAGAGTTATGATTTTTTTAAAAATGAGGCAAAAACTGAAATTTCTGAAGAGATATCAAAACTTTAAGTCGCTAACTTTTTTTTTTTGTGTATACGGTTATTTGTAAATTTATTCCTATGAAACATATCTACTTTCAAACATAGATTATTCATGACGAATGTTCGTAAAATAGATCCACACAATATTCATAGGAATCAAATTTAAAGAAAGTGTATACATCTCAAAATCAACTAAAGATGTAAACCACCGGCTGTGCATCATCATTTACCATCATCTACGCCCCAAGAAAAATCCATTCAACCTGTAGGAAGGAAATTAACCCATGAGTTTGAAACTCAATAGATATCATCGGTGTAATTCGTTATCAAATTAGAAATTCCGAATTATAGATTCATACCGTCGCAGGTAGATAGATTTTCGGCAAAATCTAATTACTATAGCATTATCATAACATGTAGATCCGGGGAATGATCATTCAAACTGTTGTAGTACCGAAGCACCGTACCCGAAGGTACCATTTCATTTAAACATTTATCAAAAAATTAGATTTGAAAACGAATGAACACTTGTACCTCTACTTACCTTGAATTTTCTTGGATAAAAGAACAAAATGTATAGAAAGCCTTCCTTCTTCTCACTCTTGTTATTCCTTAAGCTTAATTTGATATGAAATATATATATATTTTTAGATAAAATGAGAAGAAATTCGGATTTGAAGAGGAGTGTAGTAAAAAAGTGGCATTCCACTTCTATAACCTTTCTTTTTAATGAAAAATTAAGTGGAGGAGCTGTATTATCATTAAATTTATTAAACTTAGTCTTTAACTAAGAATTTGAAGAGTCTCTAAACCATAAAAAAATAATTCATATGAAAGTTTTATAAAAAATATCTACATGGTGATTCGAACCTGGGTTGCCCATATGAAATACCACGTAGATGACCATTGTGACAACCCAGTTATTCATTAAATCTTTGTAATCAATTTTACTTAAACTTAATCTCTTAAATTGTTGGGCTTTTAATTAACTTATGACTTGGGCTTTCGTAATCTTACATGGGTTGAGCTTCCACAGGTCGTTTTTAAAATGGGTTAGGCTCGTGGTGCTAGATCATCACAAAATATTAGTATAATTCCATTTTATTTTTCTCGACTACTACAATCATCATCTATTTATCCAATTGACCTTCAAAAAAATAGTCGGAAGCCCAAACCTTTATCATTATGGCATTGCCTGAGCCACCTTGGTCAGGTAAATGCGAAAAGTAGTATGACATTACTTGACCTACAATACATTGAGAACATTAATAGCTGCATGCATGAAAGAAATATACCTCGGAAGTTGAAATGTCGTACTTTGTTCTTACCTTGTGAACTATACATAATGTTTGTTGATGAAAGAGGGATGAAATTTGAAGACGACAACACACTTGAAAGGGAAAATGGTGTCGTGATGGAATATTGTGTTAAGGAGAATGTCGACGGCCTGGGATACTGTAATATGAGGTCGGCGTCTGCATGGAATGTTGTTGTGTTTGAGCATGCTGAATGTCGACCACACTCTCAGCCGTATCCCTTTGCCTCGTGCTTGGTCGCTTTCCTTTGTTTGGTGCCGAGCTTCCCTAAATATGCATAGGATGTGATCGGTATTAATTATTAGAGACATTTGAATTTCAGAGTCTAGGCTTCGAACATACCTTGCCTTTCTTCCAACTCGACTCCAACGGACCTTTTCTCCGAAGTTTCTTGGGGGATCCTTTTGTGCACGACGCCACTGGATCACGTATAGTCACACTATCATGATGTTGAAAATCAGTGCATTGGTCTATATTTTCAAAAGAATTTTTGGATATAGCATTGCTTCCGGTACCCGACTTCTTAGACATCATGAGGTCTTAACGTTGAAGTTTTATCCATTCCATAATTACACGTGCTCGACCCTCATCGTCTGCTGTGAGGTCCATTACTTCTTCAAAAGCACGACACATGTTGCCATACTTCAACTGCTCAGGAGTACTAGCCAAACCATCGTAATTGACTGCGACCTTAGGGTGTGCTCTACTAACGTCTTTCTTCCACTTTCGCTGTATGTACCTCTCGGGAAGTAATGTGACGTCACAATGAATCATTACTGCAATAGTATGCCGACAAATTATCCCCCTAAACACGAACAAATGGCACCTGCAAAGAATATCACAATTTTGTCTGTCAAATGATACGACGAATGTTTTCTTCCTCCGTATCCCGTCGCCCATAACGTCTTTCGAACCTCATACATCGTCCTTGAGGGTCCCTCCAAAGTAGATATGAGGTCACAGTAAACCTTTCCCGTAAACTCAGCCTGAGCCTCATTGAATTTAGAAATAATGTAAACTGATTGAAACGGTTTTTCCATTTCATAATCTGTGCACACGGTAATGTTTGCGAAAATGACTTGAAATAAGCTTGGAACTCTTTCTCAACTTTACTGTGCAGTGCTCGCTCATACTGTTCAACAAATTGCTTCAATGACGTCTCGGAATGCACATACCCATCAAAGAATGCATTCATACTCTTGCTTCTCTGTGTCGTTGACATCCTTGCCCAAAAACTAGTCTTCAGAAAACAAGGAACCCAACGACCTCTGTTTGCATACAGCAATCGTTATCATACAAGCCGTAAATATCAATTATCGCGGCCCAACCTTCTTCGAACTCCTGGACAAACTTTGAATCAGATACCAATCCGTGTATCGCTCCAAATATTGATGCCTTGTTTTCATGGTGTCAAAAATTCTCAGGCAACTTTTTCAAAATGTGCCACAAATATTATCTATGTCTTATGTTAAGAAAAACTATCTGAATTACATTTTACATTGCTTTGTCTTGATCGGTAATTATCCCCTACGGTGCTTGTCCATGCATACACTGGAGTCATGTTCTAAACAACCACACAAAAGTTTCAGTGTCTTCATTCGATACCAATCCACAACCCAACAGTGTGGATTGTTCGTGATGATTAACGCCAATAAAAAGGGCAAAAGGAATGTCATACTTGTTTGTCAAGGAAGTGATATCGAATGTAACAACATCGCCGAATTCCTTATACGCTTGTCTACAGTAATTATCTGCCCAAAATATGTTTTTCAATCGGGAATCATCGTCCAGATCCATACTAAAGAAAAAGCCCGAGCACTGTGCTTGCATTTTTGAAAAGTATGTTTGTATTGCGGTGGCGTCCCCTTCCCCAAGTCTTAATCGTCTCACTTTTTCAATGTAATTTCGACAATCCTTTTCCACGCAACTCATGTTCTCATAATCACCTGCTTTGACACCAGCTGAATTGTAACTTTTATGCAATGGAATTCCTGCAAAATCATTGACTTGTAGCTTGCGCTTCACGTGTGTACTCAATTCTCTGTTGCAGTGAAATAACCTGGACTTCGAAGGGCTAATTCATGATTATGGTTAAGGCTGACAGTATTAAGTCTCCAAACACCATAATTTTCTACAGAAGTAGAGATTCTCACTTTACAACCCATCAGTATTGTTGGTTGCGGCTTCGAAGATCCATCAGTATTTTTGTTTCTTCGACCTTCTCGACTACATGTCACTGTCACATATCTCAACTTTTCATCGTCTCCCTTTTTCGAATTTCTTTTCTTAACCGGAAAACCAACAGTATACGCATATTTCTTGTACATATCAAACATATCTCTCAAAATTTTAAACTCCATACCCACCTCCGGCACTATCAAACCATCTCCTAAAAAGGTTTCACCTTCCACTATGTTAGCGGAGTCCATACAATTCTCATGGTCAGATGCCACCAAAACACCATCATGTTCACCTTGCACTTCATCCATAATTTCTCTCTCTCTAATATGATAAGATATCACAAGTTCAATAATCCACAATAAAAATATTATAAGGTTATTCTCAATCACATTTTTCACTTCCACAGAGTGCCTTTGCTTGTCTAATAATTTCAATATAATGGCAATCTATTACATAGCTCATTTGATACATTAACCAGTGTTTAAAATGGTACAAAATAAACTAGATAAAATTGCCCACAGGCTCAGTTAAGTTATAAGGTTGCAGTGCTTAAGAATGATAAATAATTAATGCCTTATTGGTCCTAAAATTGTTGCATTTTTCCCCAAACTGTTGACCGTTCACGTCATTCCCACTATCGGGTGAATATGGGAGAGTTACTGCATATTAATTAAACATTCAATGCCGTTTGTCTGGTTAAATTGGTGCACATTAATGTCAACCCCACAAGCCATAATGGCAATAAAAGACCCTACGAATTAAAGAAGTGAAATTGAAAAAACTTACTAATTAACTGTTGGAAAACATAGACACAATGGCTCGCTCCGATGGCAAAGACAAAGAAATCGGGTTTCGACTAATTCTTCAGTTGGTTGGCCGGATTTCTGAACGTGACGATATCGATGTCGGCCTTTATAATGGAACAAAGATTGTTTGCTTGGAACAAAGATTTCTGAACCGGTTTCTAAATGGCTTTGTTCTTCTCGGCTTCTTTGCTCAAAACCGAAGAAGATAGGGCCGAATGAGTTTCGGGAAAATAGGTGTAAATGGTCAAAATAATCAATTCAGAAGTTTTCTCTCTCCCACGTTCCATTTTGACTGAAAATTATTAATTAATGCTTGTATTTCTCAGTCCCAAGTGCAGCTTCCCTTTTCCCTCCAAAAACGTCATTTTATGCGGTGGAAATTTTAAATCCTTGTCAACAGGGTGTCGTTCATCCTGTTTGACAAGATTAATTGTGAGAACAATACCTCACAAGAGTAAAGCCAACCGACCCACAAGGATGATTGCACCGATGATCCTCCACTCACATGGATGCGTGGATCCCGTGTGAATAAAATAATGCTCGACCACCCATATGCGTGTATGTGGTTATCCCCAATGTCAAACCTGATATTCGTGTAGCATGGTTGGTGTCCATGCTGTTCATTTACAGAAACTCATTCACTAATTATTCATCTCCACACCTGCCACGCCTTAAGAAAAATAACCACAGCAATAGTGGACACCACCATCATAGAATAGCCATAGTAAAACAACAGTAATTTTGGCCAAAATGGTAGCTTAAACTTTAAGTGAAATGATAGTAGTTTTGGCTAGCTGTAGCCACCATGAATTCGCAGCAAAAAATGGTAGAAAGTCCGATATTCAATAGAAAAAAATAGTGATAGAAATGGAGAAATTACCTCATCTTTTGCCATTGTAGTGTAAAAATTTGAAAATGCCAAAAACCTACTACAATTTACCCTTACTCACATTGAATTACTGACCAAAATTCGAATCTATTGAAGTCACCTCCATGGGGTTAGGTAAGTTAGGGTAGGTGGTTGGTTTGGGTAAGGGTAGTTGTGATGGCGGTGTAGGCCGATGGTGTTGGTGGCTAGGGGAGTTGTGGTGTTGGGTGGTGACAGTGTGGTTTACTGGTTTTGATTGGGGATGGGGAAGACAGTGAGTTTATATGTATTTTCATTTTTTGAATTTAATTTTTAAACTTATTTTATGTATAATATGTGAAATTACCATTTTATGCTATAAAAAATGGTCTAAATTTGGTCGGTTAAATTCTTTCCATTTGGACCTCAGGTATGAATTTATGAAATATTTGGGACTGTGGATGACAAAATGTTAAAGTTAAGGTAAAGTCTGTAAAAAAATCAAAGGTTTGGGACATCTACTACAATTTTTCCTATTTATATACTTAGAATAGTCAAGCATCAAAATTTGACCAATTTCATACTTTCATACCAAAATTGAGAAACAAGAACAAATTGAAAACACCAAAATATGTTAGTGGGCATAAAAAATTAAAGCAAAAGAATTGTATATGTCATTATTAATGTCAAAGACCATAAAGAAAGGTAGAGAATTTTTAGAGGGCTAAATTGGGGGATGATAAATCGAGGAAAACTAAACAATAGAGACAATAAAATAAAAGATGAAAGATCAAGTAACAAATAAAAGAAACGAAAAAGAGAAAAATAGAACAAATGAAGAGTTAGCATAAAATGAGAAAAAAAAAAAGAATGTCATGAATGTATTAAAAACATTTTTATGATTTGAAGAATATACAACATCTTTTGACAAATTTTCTTTATTATTTATAATTATTGTTGATGCCTAAAAATGTAATGTGATTTTTTTTTATCAACTTGATGAGAAAAATGGGTGGTTATTTCCAATCAACTTGGAGCAAAGTACATAATTTGCATAAAAGGAAAGTGATCCAGAAAGATTTAGTATCGTTTTCAATGGAATCCTACTGTTGCCTTGCGAGGGGACCATTGTTCCTATTTATAGGAAGGAATACCCCACTTCTTGGCCGATTCATGTCATTTCAGCTACAATACCGTTCTAAAAGTGCGTGCCTTTATCAATGTTTTTGCTGCTTTCATTGGTCGTTGAGGTTAGCCTCATCACATCATCATTACATAGGCTTCAGCTATGCCATCAGGTAATGATGGCCTGACATCAAGTAATCATTAGTCGCAGTTGATTGGTTGAAGAAGAGGTGTTGACGTCTAAGTTTCTGAGTTTTACTCCAACATTGAATGGTGGGTGGAGTTGCATGACAGAGTGGCAGGGATTTAGGCATCATTATGTCTTTATAGATTATAACGATCATTGGTTCGAGCTTATCTCATGACTAATGTGTCCAATCTTAATGTTTAAGGTATGCAAGGTGATTTGGAAAATATTTATATTAATGAGGTTGGAGTTTGGACTCCAATAGATACGCTAAGGTTTGCGCTCACCTATGGGGGATGTGTTGACCTTTGAAGATTGTAGAAATATTTTATCATATGAATCCTTGTGGAGGATAGTTGTTGTGAACTAAGGTGACATGTGTCACTACATTAGAGGGATGGCGTTCCATTGTCTTTTAAGGCTCTTTGGCCAAACTTCCTCATTAACTATGTGGTTTTGGTTTGTTTAATCTCGTTCCTCTGTTCTCTCTCTCTCTCTCTCTCTCTCTCTCTCTCTCTCTATCTATCTATCTATCTATCTATCTATCTATCTATCTATATATATATATATACTTTGCAAACGAAGAAAAAGAATTATCATCTTTTGTTTGAGTGAGGTCGCCACTACCCAGGTACATCCATTACAAACACTTCGCTTTTCTTTTCCTTGCTTTTTACCTCATCTTCTACATGAGTTTAGATGAATGTAGAATCCATTCTTGAGCCACTACCTGGAAGTGTCTATTGACACGACCCGTCCCGATCACCCTAATGGACACGACACGTGTCGTGCGCCGATTGTAGATACCAGCGAAGTGCCGGACCCACCACCAAGGCAAACTTGACATGCTTTGATTGTTATAATTTTATAAAAATTTAGACAGAGTTCCCTTTGAAAAATGGACTAAAACCACCTGAAAATAAAATCAAATGTTCCAAACATGTACATATAGTTTAAAACGGGGTACACCGGCCCCTCAAAATATCAACTATTCAAATACAACACTGGCAATTTGACTTTTGCAACAATTTCTAAACCACAGTACCCAAAATGCATAATATATATACAAAACATAGCAAGCCCAACACATGGAACTAATTTCTAACCAAAGGAGGTGTTTATTCCAAAATATGAACTATTAAACTGAAAATATGATTCATACAATGCTTGACAATCTATGGCTCAACTCGATAGATCAACTAGTCCAATAGTGCTCAACTTAGCTAATATTTGATAAGAGAAATAGTGATAAAAATGTGAGCCTATAACTCAGTGAGTGGATATTTCGTAAAAGTATACTTTTCCATTCATAAAAATCTTTCTGAAAATCGACATATAGCATAAAATTTCTTTTCACAGACATATAAACTAAAATATTTATTCTTTAAATTGAATAAGCTGAATTCTGTAGCTTAAAATCTGATAATACTATCAAAACTAAAATATACTGTAATCATAAACATCTTTATTGTGTATACTGCATTTCTAAAATCTGATAAGCTATGTAATACTGAAACATCACACCAAAAATGTACCCGAAATAACCATACTCGTGAATCGATTAATCTCGATATACATAGCAAGGTTATTCAATTCTGAAATTCTGGTCATACGCGCGTAGAGCTCTAAAATGGTTATACATTATGGAAATACATTCACAATAGTGCAGAGTGGGTAAAATCACTATACTGATCATACGCTGTGAAAACACATTCACACCAGCGCAGAGTGGGTAAAATAACCAGATGAAGTCATACACTGTGGAAACACATTCACACCAGTGCAGACGAGGGTAAAATCACCTGGGTACTCTCTGGTAGTTTTAAAATAACTTTGAATATACTAAAATATTTAATACTAAAATAACATGCTAATAAAATGATTTACTAAATTGAATTTAAGTTTTAAAAACAACTGGTTATAACTCAACTTTATTCTGAAAATCGTGTTGTCAAATCGTTTGTATGAATTAATAAATTTTCTGAGTTAATATAAATTAAATAAATACTAATTTCTGAAAAATAAGATTATCCGCTCACATAACACAAGCTGAACCTAAGATGATCGATAGGCTCTTCCAATCTCCTCGTCACCACCTGGAATACATAACAAGATGACTAATCAACCACTATTAAATTAAGAAATTTAAGATATACTTCTATAATACTTAACTAAAATTGGTCGATGCTCGAATGAATTTCCCAAATATTCTTTTGATCTATTGGAGCTAATCCCACTTTCTAATCCCTTTTCTAATAACTAATTCATCAACAAAACCTTCTTCCCAAGTTTAAAATTAATTTTACTCTCCAATCAAGTGAAACTAGTAACTATAATTCCACCCATTTAATATACATTTTGTTCCATAAAATCAACTCCCAAGTGAATAATTACATTAATGTAATCATTCCCACAAATAATCCATGCTCAATCATCAAATTTAAAAACTAGGGTTTGTCCAAAAAAAATTGACATCTCTTTACCTTAATGTAGATAGAAATTCAAGAATCAATAACTTAAGCTCCAAGTAGTATTCATCTCAAAAATCTGAAAATTTCGAGCCAAAATAAAACCCTAAAATTTTAACATAATTCATACTTTATCACTTGAAATAAAGGAAAAAATTCAACCCAAGCTTGAAGAGATTAGCCTTACCTCTTTTCTTCTTCTTCCCTTTTCTTCTTTCATTTTTTCTTCTCTTTTTCCCTAATTTTTTCTCTCTTTTTCGGTCTCCAGCTCACTGCCCTTTTTTTTCACTGTGTGTGTGTGTGTGTTTTTGAGATAAAAATGGATCAATGGTTGAATATAATGGTCCACTTACCCAAATTTATAAAGGAAGTCCTTCAACTCTATCTTCATAACACATTTAATCCTATAACTTCCAAAAATATATAAGTAAATTCCCAACTTTTTTATTTTGTCCAACTTAACCTTCAAAATATTTATAATTTATAAGATAAACCCAATTAAAATGATTTGGTCAATCAAGTCCCAATAAAAATGATTTATTTCATATAAGTTCTCATTTGACTTGATTTGAAAATTTCACTATTGACTTTAACTAGATAAAAATGTGGTTTGTAACATCTATTTTCCTTACTCGCCCATCTAGCTTGGACATGTAATAATTTTTAACAAATTCCAATCTTTACAGTTCATCTAGGAGACATAGGTCATCCTTTAGAGATGGCACAAAATATAGTTATAGTAAGAGGACTTGGAGTGACGGGTAATCACTATGCCGTGGTGTCTGAAAAGTTGCTTGATTTTTTTTATCTACTTATGCATGGTGGATGAGGAAGATGTAGATTCCCATAGTGGGAAGGTAGGTAACCCTTCACGGGAGGAGTAGAAAGCTGCTTCTTTTTAGGTTAGTAATGACCAAAAATAGATTGGCGACTTGGAGGGCCAAGTATGAAATCCCTAGTTCGGTAGAGATGGTCATCCTATGACCAAGCTCACGACTCTCCAGAAGGATGTGTGGCAGTTAACTCCGCCATCCTTGATGCTAGGTTGAGGTCGCCTTTTTTCTAGAGCCATACGCAAGTTTTTATCATATTGGGGATCGCCCTTACTCAGCTCTGCATTAACGAGTATAGAACTCCTATAGTGACATTGATCCTTTGTTACAGGTTAGGTCACCTGGAGTTGACCGTAGATCAGTTCAATTCCTTATACACATTAAAAGAAGATAGGAATGATTCTAGCTGTACTATGCCAGTGCCAAGCCTAGGACTGGGGGGTCGTTAGTTCTGGATACCCCGTTCTCTATAAAATGGTAGAAAGAGGAGTTTTTCTTTGTGTTGGAAAAGTGGCAAATTCATTCCACTGAGGCTGATAAAGATGACGTCGTCCCTACTCGTTATCATAAGATGTGTAAGTATATCATGGTTTTAACAAGTTTTTGTTATTTGTTTGCCAGGTGCGACGTAGTTAACATTTTCTCAAGTTATTTGGCAATTTATAAGAACTATAAGATCACCTCAGCTATCAAGAATAGAGCTGACACCATCAGGGTACTCTCAAAGAATCAGATATCTCACAGTATGGTGATCTTGGACTCCAGCTTGTTTCACAACCACCTTCAACTCCAATTAAGTTCCTCTACATTTTTCAGTAAATCTGTAGGTTATATGGGCTGACCTAACACTTATCTTGTACATTTTCAGGTCAAAACAAAAATATGTTAGGCTATAAGGCTTCTAAGGCTGTTAAGGCTCAGGTTAAAGCCACGAGAGCCCAAAAGAGGAAAGCTCTTGCTGTGGAGGGAGGTCAATGTGAGCTAACAAAAAAAAGAAAAAAAAAGAAAAGTCGATCTGACGGTCATGCCAGATAAGAACCTCCTCAGAGGTCTCCTGTGTGGCTGCTATCCCCAGTTAACCGTAAGGACAGCTTCCACTCTCAATCATGCCACTACTGCTGCTGCTTCCAGCTCCTCCCAACCTTAGTTACCTTGTCTTGATCTCCAGAGGCCATATTTCGATGCCATGGTCGAGAGTTGTCCAGCTATCTTTTCGGACTTCATCAAAGCTTATTTTCCCTCCAAGGACATGACATCTGTTTTTTCTCCTCTTATAAGGGATTTTGCTAACTTGCTGGCACGGAGCTGGAATGATAGAGGGCCGAAGTTCCTTTAGAACATGTCCATGGATGAAGCTTGCATCACTAGAGAGCTACAAAATTACAGATCTATCCTTTATATGATGTCAATGGCGGACAATGTACAGTTACTTAGAATTTTCCTAATTATAATTTTGTATTCTTTAATTTCCTTTACTGAGGTTAGGGCTTTCGCTTTTAGGTAAAGGCTGAGTTTGGAAAGGTGGTTAAGCTGAGAAGGCTATAAGCATTTTCTAGTCGGTGGAAGCTGAGAAAGCCCAAAGGGTCGACGAGAAAAAGAGTAGGGGGAAAGTTTAAATAAGATGGGTGTAGAGCTCGAAGCTAAGTCAGCATCTAAGGCTGACCTCTAGGATGAGTTGAAAGCCTTGAAAATTTGGTGCGAAAAAGTCAACGAGAGGGCCTCATCTGAGAAAATGTGAGCTGAAGGGGAGACTGCCCGGGCTGGTGGCCATAAAAAGGACGAAGGAAGCTGAAGCTAAGGCTGTTAAGGCAGTTGACCTTTGGAGAGCATTCCTTGAATTTGGTGCTTTAGCTCAGAACGTCAATACTGTTAACTTGGTCAAGGTGATCAAGTATATTATAAAGATACGACTCGAGTTTGATGTGGGCTTTCTCTAGGAAGCTCTGAACGAGTAGAGAGTTGTTTTGAAAGAAATGTTGACAGCAGATGAGTTACCATAAAGATACTTAAGGAGGATAAATGTTAGATATTTTTTATCATTTTGCATGTATTTATTTCTGTTTTGCGAATGATTTGCTGTCCCGACTAGTGTTTGCGGCTGCGTAACGGGGATCGACCTGCCCGGTCAGGTCGCAGGGGTCGAGGGGGCAGCTCCCCCCGTGAGGGCTCGGGCAACGTCCCCGAAAGAGAATTTTATTGCAGAAGTCTTTGAATAAGTGCATCTGTTCGTTTTTATAACAGTCACCTCCAGTAGATGTATGCAAGAATTTCAAGGGACACACCTATTTAAACGGTTGCCTCAATTTCTATAAATTCTAGGCGAGTTCTTGTTTGCAAAACACATTAAAACAATTTATTCTTCCTTCTTTCTCTTGGCATCAATCAGTTATTTTCGAGTATCTTTTTGGTTTGATCAAATAGTCACAATTTGAATCAAACGTCTTCATTGTATCCTGAGAGAGATTTTCTATCATACCCCAATTGTGACTTTGTTGAATAGGGGAGAAACATCTCTTAAAAAATAAAGTTTTTCGTGCCTTGGAGTTTATTAACGTATTCAGATTTCCCTACATTTTTATCAACAATAAAGACTCTGAAGCTGATATGCCAGGATAGGATGACCATCTAGCAAATTATCGAACCATTTAAATTTATATTATTTGATCTTATTGTTCTTCTATTTGATTTTACGGTTCAATTTGCACAATAACTTGTGTTAGAGCAAGTCCATAATTTCCACAATTACTGGGGTTTATCTTCTGAAAAATTTGATGTCATGAGATATGATGGATAATGAAATTTTGGATTATGATAGAAAAGGGTGAAGGACTTGCTGGTACAATAAGGAATGATAAAGGCGTTGGGAAAAAATCTACAAGAGATGTATGCAAAAAAATGAGTTGAAGGCAAGGGCTATATCCTCCATTCGACTTTATTTGGCAGATGAGGTTATGGTTCACGATATAGATAAGGAATCACCTGCGACGATTTGATTGAAACTAGAGAGCCATTACATTTCAAAGACTGATGAACAAGTTGAATCTTAACTAGAAGTTATATAAACTTAAGACAAAAAGGGTTATGAGACCACATAAATATGTTCAATCAAACAATCACAATCTACAATGTGTAGATGTGGTTTTCGAAGATGAAGAAAATGCATTGATGTTAAATTCCTTACCGGCTTCATTACTAAAGAAGTCTATGGAGTTGGAGGAGATTATATGGGCTTTATTGGTTGTTAATGTAAGAAAGAAGACAAGCAAAAGGGGCTCAGAATGAGAAGGGCTTATGGTTAAATGTAGTCATGAATGTGGAAGAAGAAAATCTAGGTAGGGGACAAAACAAGGATTATCGGTCTAAGTCAAGAAAGAAGAAATCCGTTCAATGTTACGGGTGCGGTAAGAGAGGTCACATTTAAAGGGAATGTCCTTAAAGTCTGAAGGCAAATGATGACAACAAGAATGCTGGTTCTAGATCTATGAATGTAGTGGGGTACGACCTAGATTTGGAGATGGTGTTATGTTGTCAATTTCATCTAGTACAGATCACTTAGCAAATTCGTGGGTGCATGACTCATTGTGTTTGTATCATTGATTCCTTACAAGTAGGGATGTTAATTGGGCTCACCAACTCCGGTCGCCCGTAACTCAGGTCGAGCCCCATTTTAGGACGTCAGGGCAGCCCGTGTGGCTCGTCGGCTTGGGCTCCCAGGCCTTAAAAACCAGTTAAAGGTAGCGAGTTGCCACCTTGCTTAAAAAGGTAGCACGAAATTTTTTTTTTAGCCTGCCCAGCTAGGTCTGAGCCGAAAAGCTTAGGCCGAGCCTATATTTCTTGGTCAGGCAAAAGCTAGGTTCGAATGGGGCTCGCAAACAAGTTCAAAACATTTTATTCAAGTCAAACTCGACTTTCGGCTCACGAGCTGGCTCGACTCGATTGGTTCACACCATTACTTACAAGTGATGGTTTGAGACCTACATGGTGGTTAATTTTGGCTTAATTCCTATAGGTATACGACATAGTCAATGGATCTGCTTAGAAGTTCTCTGGGAGCCCAACATTCAACCTGAGACACATTGCTCTGCAAGTGACCTATTCATCCTTTCTGCCAAACCATTATGTTGTGTGCCTTCTATACTATGAAATGCATCTTAATCCCATGCTACTCACAAAATTCCAAGAACTTCTAATTTGTGTACTAGGTCTTATTGTTTGATCTCCGACACTTTACTTTTCTCCCTATTTGGTTTTCCATCTGAAATTTCCATACCTTGAACATCTCAAACGTTACTTGTGCCATATTAAGTACACCCAAGCCATCTTGGAAAAATAGTCAATAAAAGTTACAACCTACATATGCCCATCCCATGATGACTCATGTTCATGTAATATTCA